GCTGGTTCTGGAGGTGCTGCGCGGCCGCGGCCGTACTTCGTTCCGCTCCTTGAGCAGGTTCTTGGTCTTCCGCTTTCTTCTAGTCCTGCTCCTTCCTTAGAGTGTCCACCGCCTGTCCAGTCCGAGTCACAGTTACAGCTGGCCTCCCCTCTCCCTGCTCCTTCTCCCTACTGGAGGTCTTGCTGAGCGTCGTGAGCCTGAGTCGCGTCCTGCGTCACCTGTTCGTACTGCTCGCACTAGTCGTCGTGTTCCACGTCAGCGTCCTCCTGCGGTCCCGGGCACGCATCAGATGGCGCTGCGTCCGTCCACTGCGTCACAGCGTGTCCCTTTGCCGTCTCCTCCAGCGTCCTCTCTTCCTGCTCTTGTTGACCCGGAGTCTGACTCCCTTCGTGCTGCCAGTCCTACAGTCACGCGTTTCCTAGCCACTGCTGTCACTGACCCTTCCTTTGAGTCTGCTGCTGCGTCTGCCTTAGTTGCCGAGCTTGTCGACTTCGCTGCTCACTGTCGTCTAGACTACGCCACTGCTCTTGTTGCTGAGTCTGAGTCTGTCTGTCCTCCGTCCGTCGAGGGTGAGTGTGCTCTTAGCACGGACGTCCTTGAGGACAAGAAGGAGGAGTTCCAGTGTTTTGCTGCTGCTTTACCTCATCTCGTGTCCTTGCTGCTTGCCCCTGAGGGAGACCCGGATGCACCAGACATCCCGACCCCGCGCTCTTACGCAGAGGCGATAGAGGGTCCCTACTCCTCTCAGTGGCAGGCAGCCATGGACGCAGAGATGGCTTCCTGGAAGTCCACAGGCACCTACGTCGACGAGGTTCCCCCACCTGGGGCGAACATCGTCAGTGGCATGTGGATTTTCAGGGTGAAGCGGCCGCCGGGTTCTCCGCCTGTCTTCAAGGCGCGTTACGTGGCTTGAGGCTTCAGTCAGCGGCAGGGAGTTGACTACTTTCAGACCTTCTCCCCGACCCCGAAGATGACCACTCTTCGGGTTCTGCTGCATGTCGCTGCTCAGCGTGACTACGAGCTTCACTCCCTTGACTTCAGCACTGCTTTCCTACAGGGCAGCCTGCACGATGAGATATGGCTGCGCCGCCCACCTGGCTTCACTGGGTCGTTTCCTCCTGGTACCCAGTGGAGCCTCCGACGGCCAGTCTACGGTCTCCGCCAGGCACCACGTGAGTGGCACGACACACTGAGGACTACGCTTGCAGCTCTTGGGTTTGCTCCTTCTACTGCTGACCCGTCGCTGTTTCTTCGCACCGACACCTCGCTGCCGCCGTTCTACATCCTCGTGTACGTCGACGACTTGGTCTTTGCTACGGCTGACACTGCTGGACTTGCCCACGTGAAGTCCGAGCTGCAGAAGAGACACACGTGCACAGACCTGGGTGAACTGCGCAGCTATCTTGGCTTGCAGATCACCCGGGACAGAGCACGGCGCACCATTACCCTGACTCAGTCACACATGGTGCAGCAGGTCCTTCAGCGCTTCGACTTCACGTACTCCTCGCCTCAGGCCACTCCTCTGTCTACTCGCCACTCGCTCTCAGCTCTGCCTTCGGATGAGTCCGTAGAGCCGAGTGGCCCGTACCCAGAGCTTGTTGGCTGCCTCATGTACCTGATGACCTGCACTTGACCTGACCTGGCATACCCTCTTAGCATCTTGGCTCGCTATGTTGCTCCTGGGAGACACCGACCAGAGCACATGGCTGCCGCGAAGAGGGTGTTGCGCTACCTGTGCAGTACGTCGGGCATGGGGCTCGTGCTTGGAGGGCGGAGTCCAGTGGTCCTCACTGGTCACGCAGACGCGTCTTGGGTTGACGACCTGGCTACTCAGCGGTCTTCACAGGGTTACACCTTCAGCCTTGGTTCCGGTTCTGTTTCGTGGCGGGCTACCCGCTCGTCTTCTGTTCTCGGCTCCAGTTGTGAGGCTGAGATCTACGCAGGAGCCATGGCTGCACAGGAGTTACGCTGGCTCACCTACCTGCTGACTTACCTGGGAGAGCCGCCTCGTTCTCCTCCAATTCTGTACGTAGCCATCCTCGTGAGCTGCAGCAGCGTGGTCAGCTGCGCCTTGCTTACGTGGCCTCTCAGGCCAACACTGCTGATATCTTCACCAAGGCGCTTCAGCCTTGTGATCATCAGCGCTTCTGTATTATGCTAGGTCTTGTGCCTACTTGGCCTCACTTGCTTACCTCTTGACTTTACTTGTACTGTGATCTATATATACCTGCACTTGCTTGTTTACCTTTATATATAATCTTGCATGTGAACTGGCCTTGTGGCCTTTGAACCTGTGCTCGGAATGTGTGGTGACGTTGTGATCCACCCTGAGCTTGCTTTGCTTTGCTTTGCTTGACTGGTCTTGTGACCCCTAGTTCTCCCTCACTTTGCCTATGGGGGTGTGTCAGATATATATGACTTAGCCTATGTAGGCTGTAGTGGGGTAGACACTAAGGGGTACAGGTTTCATATTTGTATCTCACACTTTCCTAGTTCATTCATTCCTATTATTTTCACAAGCCGATTATGCCACACCTTGAGATTCGCCTTGGAGCCTTGCGCCACGTTGGATGAAGCCACTCTCGGGTGCGTCTTGAGTTGGTAGAGTTCTCCGTTGAGAACACCTTGCGCGAATTGCTTCCCCTTCCAAAAGAGGTTCATCTTCGCATTGTCGATAGTGACATCCACACCCTTCTTCGCGAGTTGAGTGACGGAGGGGAGATTCACCTTCAACCCCGGGACGTGAAGCACGTTCGTGATGTCCACCGGTCCGCCATCGACGATGAGGTGCGTACTTCCAACTCCGACCACCGGTAGCGACTTGTCGTTTCCGAAGACGACGCGCGTTACGTCTCTCGGCGCACCAACGTTGGTGAGGAACGATGCCGAGTGCGTCATGTGTTGTGTTGCGCCGGTGTCAAGGAACCATTCGTCGCTTGGTATGTTGGTCCCGTCACCGGCCAATAATACGATCGACTCCCTTGCATCATCCACATCGCCGGATGTTGTGTACGCGTTGCCCTCGTGGTTCCGCGCCTTCGATGGAGTCCAATCGCTCGGGCGCTTCCGACACTTACGCCAAAAGTGTCCCGCCTTGCCACAATAGTGGCACTTGCTCGAGCCATTCGATGTGTTTCTCTTGCCGCGATCGCTTCCACCGGACGACTTCTTCATCGCACCCTTGCTCCACGTGGACTTCTTTCCGGAACTCCCTCCGGAGAACATGGCGGCACCCTCGCTCTCATTAGCGAATTGTCGGCGACGCGATTCTTCATGGAGAAGCCGACTGACCACCATTTCCTTCGTCCAAGTGTCTTGCACGCTATCGAGTGTCGTAATCACCATCGACCACTCTTCTGGAAGGCCGCATAGGAAGTTCAAAATCCAATCCTCCTCCGTGACCGTTCCACCGAGGTCCATGAACGTTTCCCCAAGTTCCTCCACACGAGTCGCATACTCGTGCATCGATTCGCCCGCGCGCATCTTCACCGTGTAGAACGCATTCCGGGCTAGGATCTTGCCGTGGAGAGTCTTGTTCACGTGCATCGTCTCGAGCCGCTTCCACGCTTCATGCGCCGACGCTTCGAGCTTGATGCACATGCGCACCGAGCTCACGAGATTGATGCCGATGCGCGAAATCAACGTAGCGAACGCCTTTTGGTCCTTCTTCTTCCATGTCGCGATGTCGCTCTCGTTGTCCGGCTTCTTCTCCGTTCCATCGAAGAAACCCCGAAGTCCCCGCTCCATCATGAGCACTTGGAACTTAAACTTCCACGCGGAGTAGTTTTGTCCCGTGAAAATCGGTACCGCCGACGTGTCGAACATCGTCGCAGTTGCCCAGGGTTTGCCGGAATTTACAACGACACCATCCAAGGAAGTGCGGGAGGCCTCGCTTGACATCGGCATGCTAGCTTCTTGTTGCGCGCGTAGACTCCTCCGACCAGCTCTGATACCACTGTTGTAGAGGACTCTCCTCTAGTTGGCAGGAACTGGGATTTGAACTAAACAATATAGCACTCTGTTAGCTTTCCAACGAGCCATAGATCACCTCGACCGCCTAAGTATCGAGCGAGATATAGGCGTTTATGTGCTTGGTAGTGCTCTTGGAATCAAGGAGAGGAACTCTCTGGATTTTGTAGTCGAATGTATCACATACAAAGTGATTCTCGATTTCAGTATATGACATGCAATACAAAGCAAACAAATTTATATGAACTGCAATGCATCGAGTCGCACATGTAACCTCGAGTCGCTACACTCTCGAATGTTCGAGTAACATTTCGAAGGGGTGAAATTCGGAACTCGAATTTCACCGAATCGAATTCTCCTTCAGTCTCGATTCTTCTTGTGCTGCCATGTGGCACCGAAGTGCAGGTTCTTCCGAAGTCAACCCATATTTCTTGGAACCTGCAATACATTCATGAAACTTCCAACTTGCAGCTTACTCAACCGTGAGCACTAGAAGGAACACTTTCAGTGGTTGGGGGCAATCCTTGCCTCACGCAACCTCCAACAAAATCGACTTTGGGCCAAAAGCCTTTTTCCGTGATGTTGCGCAACCCGCCACCTCTAGTCGAGTGGTGACCTTGCCCAGTAGTACAAGGATTAGCACAAGTGGTGCTAACAGAAGTGACGCTAATAGTATACGAGGAGCACGGGTTTGGAGACGTCTCAAAAAGTGTGATCGTTGCCCGTAAACGATACTCGTCATACGGTTAATATATGTAGTAATGGTACTACCATTACTAGTAGTGCCATGCATGCGAGTTGGAGCCGTAGCGGTTCGAGCCTCCAAGAGGAGGCAGGAAGGAGGTACATATGGAGGTGGGACTATATTGAGTGTAACTACATCGAGTTGGAAGATGGGACCATATCGGGCTCATAGTGCACTGCCCCAATCCTGAAAGGTGTGACTACATTGAGTGTGACTAAACGAGCGCGAAGATGGGACCATATCGAGTACGAAGATGAATATCAGCACATAGTGCACTGCTCCAACCATGATAGGTGAGACTAATGAGTGTGTATATTGGGATGCGCTTATATCGAGGATGTTATGTCTGCATTCTCCCCGTTCAGATAGGTGGGCTTGTATCGAGGTTGGCTTATATCGTGGTGGGCTTGTACCGAGGTGGGCCTGTATCAAGACGGGCTTATATCCAGATTGAGAGTCCTGTGGTGACAGATGTATTTTGAGTCAACTGTGGACTTAAAGCACATCTATACCTGGCTGCTTCTGGTTACAGATATAACGCCTCGCTACCCACTGGTTCAAAACAAGGGTGCTATTTAGGCGCAGCGGATAGCCAACAAATCAAAACACCCTCAGCACTGTCCTTAATACCCTCCTTTCTCCACAGTACTCTTCCTCTCGTCGCTGCCTGTGCCCTGTTTTTCCTCTCCACGCTCTCTATCCCAACCCAAAGAGGACCGTAACATGGATTCCCCAAAGCTGAAAGAACCATCAGACAGACCACACCGGGATCTCGTGATTGTTAAGGCGCTTCAGACACGCACATTCTTCCCTCCCTGTGTTCTCTTGATCCCCCTCTCCAGGTTCTCTATTCCAATTAACAGCGTGCGCGGATCAACAAACTGTAAGAGCCAGCAGGGGGAACTGTTCGGGCACACGGTGGCTAGCCTAAGTGACAGTTGACGAGCGCTACACACGCTGGGTTCCCAGCCAAAGCTGACAAAAGCTGACATTAACATCCCCAAGAATACACATTACAAAGCCACAAAGAAACGTGCTTCTAATATAGAAGACCGAAGCTACACCCTGAACAGACATAAACAATGCACCGTCCACAAGTTTACCACTGTACACCATCTCAACAATCTCGTTCTGAACAGCCATGTAGAAATGCAATTTCCTTTTAGACTCTGCAACTTCCTTCTCCCAATTTCCTTTTAGACTCTGCACACTCTCCTACTGCAGCAGATCTGCGACTAGGCTCTGCTGGGAGTTGAGGTGGAGGAGGAGGGAGAGAGGCGTGGAGGAGGAGGAAATGTGAGCGAGCAGAGAGGCAGCGAGGTTGGAGGACAGCTGCATTTCCCCAGCCATTGCAAACACGGTGTTTGCAGCCCTACTGACTGCAGCAGCACCGCCAGCACTTCCAGCAGCGGTAACGGTAACAGCAGTAGCACCAACAGAGGCCGCAGTTGCAGCACCGCCAACAGCACCAGCAGCAGCGGCACCGGCAGCACCAGCAGCAGTGGCTGAAGCATTGACGTTGCCTGCTGCAGTCACCCAAGCACCAGGCAGGACCACCAGAGGAGTCAAAACCGAAGGCACCGAGCCAAACACCGAACCTGCAAGGTTAGCCGCCGAGCCTGCTGCCTTCCCTGCTGGGCCTGCTGCTTTCCCTGCTGCACCAACTGCCTTTCCTGCGGTGATAACGAGTGAACTTGCAGTGTCGCCAACCAAGCCTCTGGCCGAGCCTGCAGCCTTACCAGCAGTGCCAGTTGCCAAACCTGCAGTATTCCCTACCAAGCATGTTGCCGAGCCTGCAAGGTTCCCAGTCGCACCTGCTGCCCTCCCTGCAGTGCCAGCCGCCGCTCCTGCAGCAGTGCCGACCAAACCAGCTGCCAAACCAGATGAGTTGCCGGCCAATCCGGCTGCCGAGCCTGCAAGCCTCCCAGCAGTGCCTGCCACCTTCCCTGCAGTGCCAGCAGTGGAGCCTGCAACGGTGCTGACCAAGCCTGCTGCCGAACCTGCCACCTTACCTGCAGTTCCAACTGCCGAGCCTGTAGGATTGCCTGCCAAGCCTGCTGCCGAGCGTGCAAGATTGCCTGCAGGTCCTGCTGCCTTCCCTGCAGTGCCGATTGCCAAACCTGTAAGGTTGGCTGCCAAGCCAGCTGCCGAGCCTGCAAGGTTCCCTGCAGATCCTGCCACCTTTCCTGCAGCGCCCACTGCTGAGCCTGCAGAGCTGCCCACCAAGCCTGCTCCCGAACCTGCTGCCTTCCCTGCAGTGCCTACCGCCGATCCTGCAACACTACCCACCAAGCCTGCTGCCGAACCTGCAGCCTTCCCTGCAGAGCCTGCCACACTCCCCACTGCCCTCCCCGCACCAAAAACAGCTCCGGCAACATCCGAAATCAACCCAGCTGGAGCCACATTGAGGTTTGGCGAGCCTCCAAAACTGGCTTGGCCGCCTGCCGAGCCTATGTTGGCACCCGCATCGGCGGTCGGATTAGTCCAGGCAGTGATGGGAGTGGAGAAGAGGGGGCCACTGTTGCAGGGGTTGCGAGGAAGGATGGCTGGAGGAGAGGGCAACAGCGGGGCTATACCTTGTGCTCTGATCTTATAGGCAAGGTACATTGACGCTCCCCTGAGAGATTATGCAAAGGGGAGAGATGGGAATAAAAAAAAAGATATTATTACTGATCTAAAAATGCTTACTATTCAAGGTGGTGGAAATGGGTTGGGGAAGAGGGGGGGGAGGGGGGGAAGGGAAGGAGGTGCATAAAAACGGGGAGGATACAGTCCCAATGCAAGTTCACATTACCTTCGGAGGATGCTGATATCAGCCGTGCCATCAGCGTTGGACCTGACGTCGGCGCTCGTCCCACCACAAGGGGCTAGGGTCCCATGGAGAGAAGCTGGTGAAACAGAAACAGAACAGAATAGCAGAAAAAACGATAACATCAGGCTCTGGAATTTTATTTTCGCTGCAAGATAGAACTCGATTGAATTATGAAAAAAAATGCTTCTTGCGGATCATGCTTGTGAAGGGCTTTGCAGTAACGGAACTCACCCAGAATCTTGGAGCCGATGCTAGGACCAGTGCGAACAGCGAGGGCAGATGGAAGGATAACGTCTGCTGAAACAATAAGCGAACGCAAAAAAAAAGAGGCGAAAAGGGTATGATATTCGAGGAACATTCAGTTGGTAATGGAAATTTCTGTGTTATGAGTGAATTTTGCATAGATAATGAGTACATATAGGGAAATCGTTGCGACCTGGCTATTATGCAGAATAACTAACCCGCAAGTGCGATGGTGAGGAGCAGAGTCACAGCTGCACGAAGGAAGAAACGAGCCATGCTGAAAGGTAGGAAAATCGTTCTGTCGTAAAGCAAAGCAGTGAGTGAGGTGCCTTCTTTGCTCAGGCTTGGAAATACCAGTATTGAGAAGTTGGGCTGATTGATTCTGAGTTTGTGGTGCAAAATGTTGGAAATGTGGGCATTTATCAGCCCTGCTTTCCAGCCGCGCATTGAATATTTGGGTTAGCCTTGCTGTCGGGCAGGCCACGTGGCGGTGACTTTTGACCTACAGTGCGGTTGGGCAGGCTGCCTGCCGAAACCCGCTGTCCACCGAACACATTTTTGCGTTGAAAGTAGTCTACGGTCAGGCTAGCCTTTCGCACGACTAATTTATCCGATATAAGAAACGTTCACCTTGGGCGGACCGTACATCGATTTGAAACAATCACATATCTCCAACTTCGTAGCTGAATGTGGAAATATACGTGGGCCTTGTTCAGGAGCTTGCGGAGCCACGCTTTGTGGCATTTGGTGAAGCGCGGATATGAAGCTGGTTTGCTGACTCCCTCGCGCCTTCAGGCTTTTACCGAGCCAACACACAAGCTGACGAAGGTGATGTGTCGTGGCCTAGGCCAAACTAGTTACCTGCCGAACCTCCCGGTGTGGCAAATGCCCTGCAACTTGAACCAGGCATGTGGGTCCAGCTCGCTGGGCAAGCCTAGTTCAGCACCCAAAGTTAGGCTCGTCGAATCCAGACCAGAACAGGTTTGCACGTCAGCACGCATTTTGCCTTGCGCCAATTTCGCCTTTCCTGTCGTGAACATTGAGGTTGAACCGCATCGCATTCTCGTGCACAAGAACAAAAGGGCCTCCCGCATTAGGTTTTCTAATCGCCCTTTTCCATGAGTTTTGACTGTCGAGGTCTTCCCGATTGTAGGGTGTGCGAATGAAATCCTTCCCAGCATCTTTGGCTTCGCAACAGCCCCAATTGACCAGTAGGAATCCGTAAAGCGGCTGGCTGGAAGAGTACACTGATGTATTTCTCTGTTAACCAGGAAACGTTTTTCAGCTTCCTCTTGTTTCGGGTAGTTTCAATCTGTTGGTGCACCATAGTTGGTCCACATCTGTTGTGGCCAAGCCCATCACCTCGTCGATCCCACAATCATCGCGCGAGTCGCCTTCAACCAGGGGCTACTCATCATGAGAAGTAGTTCGACCTCTCATCCTCTGGAGATGGGAAGTTGGGTGATCGACGAACCTGATAGAACCCAACGAGGTTCCATGGCGCGACGAGTCACCTCGCCAGCAGCAGCAGCAGTTGTAACTAGCAGTGCACGACATGAGGTTGCGAGAGGCATGTTCGAATCGGATAGCAGGCAGGACCCCTGTGCTTCCCAAGGCACGACGACCCACTTTCCTACCTCACTTCCTCCGAGAGGGAATGGCACGTTTACTTGTCAGAGAGTTGTTGCGAGAAGCGAGGCCGCAAAGTCCCCGAAAGGATTGTAGTGTGTACTGAGGCGCCTGAGAAGTCTAGAATTACGAGAGTTCGCGATGTGCGAGGATGGATGGCGATGACGTGCCGCCTCTTCGCGAATCCTATCCGCGATAACTTTCCGCGTTCCTCTATCTTTTACATAGGATAACGTGGTCGACTTTATCTATTTTGGAACGTAGAGCGGACGTAACGAGTAGGAGGCGTAGGCTCAGCGCACCCAGAAGCCCCCATGAGGGAAGCTAGTGTCTCTGGGACATGGCCGGGAGCCTCTGACGTAGAAACAGCCCTTGGGAGCAGCCTGCGCAGCGACGTCATATAAGAACTCTAAGTATACGCATATTTTTTTTCCTTACTTGGTTGAGCCGCGTTCATTCGAACAGCTATAGGACGTCGCCTTGGCTCATGGATACTCGAGTGACTATTAGTCGAACACACTGATAGCTGAGCAATTGCGAATACTAGCGACATGGATACTGCGCTCGGCCACATGATCGCGACGTGGGATCGACTCCGCAGCACCTCCCCCATTCTTAGCGCCAGCCGTCCCCCTCTTTTCCCCGCCCCTCCGCCTGTTGCGCAATTCGCCGACTCCCGTCGAGTGAGCCCCTTTCCTGGGGCCAATACGAATAATGATAGTATTAGTACGAATATTAGTAGTGCTACTATTAGTATAAGGAGCACGACTACAGAGACGTCTCAAAACGTGACGTCTCAAAACGTGAGCTCGTTGCCGGGAAGTAATAATCGCAATACTGGTGATGCGGGTAGCGCCCGGCAAGCGAGTTGGAGCCGTGGCGGTTCGGACAGGCGAGAGGAGGGCGGAAGGAGGTATTTCAACGCTTTAGGCGGGAAAGAGGCTTTGCATGTCCGCGAAGCACGAGACGCGGCGCGTAATAACGGCTCACTAGACGATTCTTTGAGTGGGCGCCATGCTGAAGCCACGACTGCGCGGCTTCACAACGCTTTAGGCGGGAAAGAGGCTTTGCACGTCAGGGAGGCTCGAGCATCGGCGTGTAATAACGTCTTAGTAGACGATTTCCCCCGTGGTCGCCATGCGCAAGCCGCGACAGACTTAGCTAGTGGTGCTCCTGCTGGAGTTAAGTGGCCGTCTGGCCCATCCGTCAGAGCCGGCGGAAGGTGCGGCGGGGAGAGCGGTGATAGGTGCGGAGGGGGAAATGATCATAAAAGCCGAGCGGAGAGTAACGGAGAGTTTGTGGCTGACCGAAGAGGAGATAACAGCGGGGGTGATAAAAGCGAGGGTGATAGAAGCGGAGCGTCCGCGGAGTCGGCGTTTTACCGTGCCATGCCTGATCCTTACGCGCGGCCACAGCCCCGGCAGCACGGAACCGCGTTTCGCCGAGGCATCGGCGACGGCGCTCGCGACGGCGCTGGCGACGGCGATACTGGTGGTAACCGGGATAACGGCAGCGGTGACAGGGGGGATAACGGTGGGTATAACAGCGTGAATATCGGCGCCAATAAAGACGGGACTAACGGCGGCAACACGGGGGGGAATAAAGTCGGGAATTTCGGCGGCAATAATGGGGGAAATAAATGCGGGAATAACGGCGGTAACAACGGCGGCAATCACGGCACTGCAAGCGATGGAAGAAGGCGCACGGGTACGGACCTCCCGGTTGAACCCGCGGGGCATAATATAAGTTTTCTGGGAGCCAGAGATAACCTGATGATGGAAGGCGGCAGCCGGCAAAACAGCCTGGGGAGCGGCCGGCAAGTTGAGCAGTCGACGGCAGAGATGACGGCTAGCCGTCAGGCAGGCGTCCGGCCGGTTTATGTGTTCACGGAAAGTGGATGGAAGCCGGTAGAAGAGGCAGGGAATGGGGTTGGAAGGGGGAGCGTGGGGGTGGGACGGGGAGCTGGGAGAGGAGCGGGGAGGGGGATGGGGAGATGCGCGGGGATAGGGCCGGGGACAGCGGTGGGGAGGGGGGTTGGGGAGACGGGAGGCGGAAGAAACGCGTTCGGTGGGGGATGGGGGAGAGGAGTCGGGGGAGGGCGGGGGATCGGGCCGGGGGAAGAGCGGAGAGGGATAGGGGCAACGAGAGGAGAAGCAGCAAGAAGAGGAGGAAAAGGGGCAACGTTAGCTTACGATCACACTTCTTCTCCTGTTTGCTCGAACGCTCCTGTCCTGGAAGAAATTGGAATGGCGGTGGGAGTGGGGGGAAAAGTGGGAGGGGAGGAGATGGGGGAAGAGGAGAAGGAAGAGGAGGAGATGGAGGAGATTGAGATGGAACAACCGCCGCTGCTGTCTAGTTCCTGGGGCGGGATAGGAAGAGGGAATGTTTTTTCGGATAAAAGAGCAGCTCTGGTAGGAGCAGCAGGCTCTGAGACGCCTCAAAAGCCGCAGCTGGTGGCTAGTTCGTGGAGTGGGGTTGGAAGGGGGAATGGAGGAAATGGTTATTGGGGTTTGAGGGAACCACCAGCAGTAGCACCAAAACCAGGAACAGCATCATCAGCAGCAGCAACACCAGCAGCAGCAGCATCAGGAGCAGGAGGTGGAGAAGCAGCAGCAGCAGTAGGAACAGCAGCAAAGCCACCATTGGCAGCAGGAGTAACGGCCAGAACGCACAGGTTCAGGCCCAGGATACTGTCACCCGTGCACGCCGGTCGAAACCCCCTGGCCTCGCCTAAAGCAGCCAGCGGTAACCATGCGAGGCAATGGACGTCAGCTGGTAACCATGCGCGCGAAGCTCGCTCATGTGGTAACCACTTGCAAGAAACTGCTCCCAATGGTAACATTGCGAGGCAAAACGGGGGGATTAACGGGAGGGGGGATGATGAGGAGGTAAGCAGAGTGGTTCAGTCACTTGAGGAGGCTGGGAATAACAGCACGGAGGAGGAAGAGGCAAGGCGGGAAGGTGATTTCAGTAATAACCCTGGGAGGCAAAACGGGGCCACCCGGAGCGGAGAGGCGGTGAACAGAGTGCTGCCGCCGCTTCTTCCTGAGGAGAGCTGGAGAGCTCAGGAGGAGGAGGAAGAGGAGGAGGAAGAGGAGGAGGAAACGCGTTGGTGCAAAGCCCAGGAAGCGAGACTTCCAGCCTTAGCCAGAAGCCTTGACGTCGTCCAACCTCTTGATCACCTTCCGCTTTTCCAGCAGAGAGAGGAGGAGGAGGAAGCGGAGGAGGAGGAGGAGGGGCAGGAGAGAGAGCGGCGGGGGATCAAGGAAGCAGAGGAGAACCGGTGGAGGGAGGAGCAGGAGGAGCGGCGGTGGTGCAAGGAGGAGGAGGAAAACCGGTCGAAAAAGGAAGAGGAGGAGGAGGAGCAGCGATGGTGCAGGGCGCAGGAGGCCAGACTGCCGGCGCTAGCCAAAAGCCTTGGCGAACCTCTTGACGAACCTCTTGACGGACCTCTTGACGGACCTCCTGACGGACCTCTTAATGACCTCTGGGACCCGCACGGCCAGTATGCACACCAGAGGTCGAATGGAGGTTCGTATGCCAACCCTGCCACTGCCACTGCTACTGCTACTGCTGCGTCTGGTCTCTTCTGCATGACCGGGCACTTGTCATCCCGCTCTGGCCGTGCCTCCAGTGCCACGGCTGGCTACAGCAGGAGCAACAGCGGCGGCAGCAGCGACGGAAGCAGCAGCAGCAGGAGAAGGAGAGGGAGAGGATTACAGCATAGCAGCTTACACCCATCGGCCGGTGCAGTGGAAATGAAGGGGTATGTCAGAGGCTCTATCCCGAGTGATGCTTCAACAAGCAGCAGGAGCAGCGGCAGCAGTGACATGGGCAGTGGCAGAGACAGCAGCAGCAGCAGGAGAAGAGGGAGATGCTTACAGGAGAGCAGCTTACACCCATCGGCAGTGGCATTGGAGGGCTATGACAGAGGCTCTATCCCGCGTGATGCTTCTACCAGCAGCAGCAGCGGTAGCAGCGGCGGCAGCAGCGGCAGAAGAAGTGAGAGGGGCAGTCATGGTTCAGGCGCGTCTGCTGCTAGTGCTGTGGGAATCAGCAGCAACAGCAGAGGCTCCGTCCCGCGTGCTGCTGCTGTGGCACAGCACAGCAGTCGCCTTGCTGTGGCACGCAGCAGCAACAGCAGAGGCGCATACCCAGCAGGAGGAGTGCTGGGTGCAGGAGAAATTACAGATGGGGTTTTTGGCAAGAGTGATCCCGCACGCAGGGATAGTAGAAGGAGAGCTGACAGTTATGGCACTGGTGATAGCGGAGGGAGTGGGGTCTGGTACGGTTCTGGTGGTAGCAAAGGGAGCGCCGATAGGTGTAGTACGGTTGACAGTAGCGGCAATTCCTGGGCCAACAACAGTGCGAGTAGTGGTGGTTACCAGGGTGGTAACCAGGGTGGTAACCAGAGGGGTTACCAGGGTGATTACCAGGGTGGTGATTGCGGCAATAACTGGGAGAGGATCTGTAGCAGCAGTAGCAGGGGCAGAGGCAGCGTGAGCAGGGTGAATGCGCCAGGGCTAGGTAGTCAGGGTGGTTACCAGGGTGGTTACAATGGTGATTTTGGTAACCAGAGGGAGAGGATCTGTAGCAGCAGTAGCAGGGGCAGAGGCAGCGTGAGCAGGGAAGGAGCGCCAGGGCTAGGGGATAGAGGGGGTGGGAGCATGAGGAAGAGTGTTGAGCAGGGGAGCAGCAGCACGAGAAGCAGTGATAGCAAGAGCGATACTATCAGGAGCAGTGCTAGCAGCAGCCTGAGAGGCAATGCTCTCAGGAGCACTGGTAACAGCAACAGCACAGGCAACGGAAGGGGAGGCAGCAGTAGCAGTGGTGGCAGGAACGCTGGTGACTTGTACATAAGCAACAGGAGTGGTAACACAAGGTATGGTAACATAAGGAGTGGTAACGGCAGCGGTGAGAGCAGTGATGGTAGCAGCAGACGCAGCAGAGGGAGCAGCAGCAACAGCCAGAGCAGCGGAACGTCTAGATCAAGAGGCATCACCAGCAGACGGGTGGCTCTTCCCTCTCCCGCCTCCTCCTGTGCCTCCTCTCTCTCCTCTCCCTCGTCTCCCTCCATCCCCTCCTCTCCCTCTTCCCCCTCACCCCCCTCTGCCTCCGCCCCCTCCCCCGTCCCTCCTCCCCTCCCTCCTTCCGTTCATGCTGCGCCTCCCCCCTGCCTCTCCCCCACTCCTTCCGCCTCCGGCCCCCGAGCCTCCCCCCAGGCCTCCCACCAAACCTCTTTCCGAGCCTCTTCATCCGGTTCTCACAGCGCTTCTCCTAGGGTCAGGTCTGGTAGGTCCACCTCTTCAGGCTCGGCATTCCCCCGAGCCTACTCATCCGGTTTGGCAAGGTCTCCCAAGCAGGTTCGGCCCAGCAGAAGCGCCACCAGCAGCAGCACGAGAAGAAGCACCCGCAGCAGAGGAAGCATCAGGAAAGGTGGTGATTCTGAGGTGATTACAAGCAGGAAGCAAAGCAAGACCCAAAGCAGCAGCACTGAACTTGCCCCCGCGACCGTACCTTGCTCCTCTGATCTTTCTTCTGCCGTCTCCGGACCTCTTTCCGAGCCTGACTCCCACCCAGGCCGTACCGAACCTGATCCATCATCCCCAGCGGCATCCAAGGCTGAGGCTCCGGTCTGTGCTCATGCCGAGCCTCAACCAGTCCTAGCGAAAAAATGTAAAGGTTCTCCAGTTCCCGAACCTAGGTCATCCGAGCCTGAGTTTTCAAGCTCCAAGCCTCAGCCCGGTTCTCCAATTGCCGAACTTGCAGCTCCCCCAACCAAGCCTCGTGGGTCCCATGAATCGGGCAGCCGAAGCGATCTCTCGGGCAGTGAGAGCATTCGTTCGGGCAGCACCAGAAGAAAGACCGTTGATCGTCCTGCTGCTCCTGTCAACCTCCCGTCCTCCCCATCTTCTACTCCTGCTCCCCCTTCCTCCCCTCCTCTCCCTCCCTCTCCCCACACTCCAGACGCTTCTCCCTCTCCCTCACCTCTCCCCAACACTTCTCCCTCCACTCTTTCCTTCACTCCTCTTCCTGCTATCTCTTCCTCCCCTCCTTCCCCCACCCCATCCTCGCCTCCCCCCCTCTCCCCACTGCCGCCGTTTTGGCCTGTCTCCCCCTCTTCCTCCCCTCTCTCTCCCTCTGCCTTTTCTTCCCCCTCTCCCTCCCCCTCTCCTTCCCCTTCCACCCCCCTCCCACCAACCTCCCCTATTGAAAGGAGAAAGGCAGCAGCTGCAGCCGCAGCAAGACGAAAAGCCATTGCCTCTGGTTCGATGCCTGCTGGTTCGGGTGATTCTGGTTCGGTCACAGGCTCGGTTACCAGTCTGGTTTCTGCTTCAACTTCACGTCCGGCCGAAGGAGGGAGGGGGGGAGAGAGGCGCATTGGCAGTAACGGCAGCAGCAGCAGCAGTAGCAGCAGCAGCAGCGGGGAAATCAGGGGCAGCAGCAGAAGGAAGATCAAGGAAATTAGGGATGAGGGTGGTGCTACCAGTGATGGTAGCAGCAGTGACAGCAGCAGCTGCAACAGAAGCAGCAGCAGCAGCAACATCAGAAGCAAGAGTGGAGAAGCAGGACCAGGAGAAAAGGGAGGAGGGGATGGGGGAAATGCGGAGGGCAGGAACGAGGCGCTGAGGGAAGAAAAAACTGCAGATGCTGCTGTTGACGGGACAGCAGCGGCAGCAGCAGCAACAGCAACAGCAACAGCAGCAGCAGCAGCAGCAGTAGGAGCAGCATCAGTGGCAGCAGGTGCAGGTGCAGGCGCAGCAGCAGCAGCGATGCCGCAAGTCCAAACCATGTTAACGTCAGCATCTCCATCTCATGGCAGCATGATGACGTCAGCATCACCATGTCACAGCACCATGATGACGTCAGCATCGCCATCTGCAACATCGCCATCCATGCCGGCCGGGATGGTGGGGGCGGGGATGGTGGGTCTGGCCGGCACAACAGCTGGCACGGGTCAACAGCAGAACCCCATGATGACGTCAGAAGAGCAACCCATGCTGACATCGTCGGGCAACCTGGTGGCAACTGCCATGAAGCTTCCTCCACTGCCTCCTGCATTTTTGGACGCTGCCACTGGTACTGTAGTATACAATAATAGCAGTAATAAAAACAGTAATAACAGTAATATCAATGGTGTACAGTACTGCAACGGTCCACAGGGGCTACAGGGATTACGGAGTAGTGATGCGCGGTTCAGTGCGGTGCAGAACGGTGGCGGGGGCTTGCAGCACACAGGTCTGCAGCAGCGGAATGGGGGTTCGATCCTGCCTGATGGATCGATGCAGTTAGCAGGGCACATGGGGATGATGACGTCAGCAGGCCAACACATGATGACGTCACCTGCTCATGTGCCTTCTAGACTCACTCATACCCACTCACTCTCCCCGTCTCTCCCACTCTCCCCTTCACACCCTCTCTCCCTCTCACACCCTCTCTCCCCTTCACACTCTCTCTCCTCTCACCCCCATGCCCACACACACTCACTATCCCCACCGCACCCTCTCTCCACATCACAGTACACCATGATGACGTCACCGTCTCACTCAATGCTGACGTCATCCGTGGCAGCATCAGGCATGGCTTATTCCTCAGCCAGCATACCATACGCATCCACTAATGCTCTACCATCCATGTCCATGCCCTCTCAACAACATACCATGTCCTCGCAACAGCAACCCATACCCATGTTCCTGCAATCCATGACTATCCCCTCTCAACATCTATCCTCGCAACAGCAAACTGTAGCCATGGCTGTACCTCCACCACCCCCACCCTTCCCTACACACTCTCTAACCATCTCACCCCCATCGCCCACATCACCCCACTCTCACTCCATTTTCAAAGAATCTCCCAACAGTCATCCCTCTGGTTCTTTAAGCTCATCATTCCCACCCTCCCCTGCATTCCGCGAGGCTGATTCACATCAGATGAATGTACTTGGGAGTGGTGGTGTGCGTGTCGCCTCCTCCCATCCATCCCCCCATCTTTCCTCCCATCTTTCCTCCCAGCCTTCCTCCCCCATGCATGCACATGCAACTGTTAGCACTACCATGCCCTATGCCACTAGCAGCAGCAGCAATAACCCCATGCATTCACCCATGCATGCATGCGCCGCCAACAGCACCATAGCCAGCGCAGGCAGCAGCAACAACAGCGGCTTTAACAGCAGAATACTGGTTTCCGCACCTAACAGCATGCTGGTTAGCCCCCCCAGTAGCATGCTGGTATCCGCTCCAAACAGCATGCTGGTTACCGCTCCCACCAGCATGACCATGCTGACGTCGGCGCACCATGACATGGGCTCTATGATGACGTCATCTCCGCAGGCTCAGCAGGATTCGGTGACGTCAGGAGGATATGGAGGTGGAACAGTGGTGGTGGTGGGGGGTGGAGAGAGGGAGGGGCAGCAGCAGCAAGGGGGATCAGCAACAGCACCAGTCACCAGCATCAATCCCATGATCCCACCTAGAATAATCGCTGTTATTTACTCTAAAATACCCGAGGGTATTTCCCCTGAGCTGCAGCAGCAGTGGGTGGAGCAGCAGCAGCAGTCTTACTTGCTTCACCAGCAGCAGAAGCAGCAGCGGCGGCAGCAGCAGGAGGAGCAACAGCAGCAGCAGGAGAAGGAAAGGCGGCTGCAAGAAGAGATGTTGCAACAGCGGAGAGCAGAGGAGAGGGAGAGGGAGAGGGAGAGGGAAATGGAGAGGGAAAGGGAGAGGGAGAGGGAGAGGGAAAAGGAGAGGGAGAGGAGGGAGAGGGAAAGGGAGAGGGAGAGGGAGAGGAGGGAGCGGGAGAGGGAGCGGGAGAGGGAGAGGGAGAGGGAGAGGGAGAAGGAAAAGGAGATGGAGAGGGAGAGGAAGAGAGAAGCAGAGAGGGAGAGGGAGAGGGAGAGGAGGGAGCGGGAGAGGGAGCGGGAGAGGGAGAGGGAGAGGGAGAGGGAGAAGGAAAAGGAGATGGAGAGGGAGAGGAAGAGAGAAGCAGAGAGGGAGAGGGAGAGGCGGAGGAAGCAGATGCAGGAGCAGAAGCCATTGGCCGTGGTGATGCTGATGCAGTCAATGGGAGCACGCAAGAAGAGTGAGAGCAGGGACGAAGGAAGGGCGGGAGGAGCGATGGGGGCAGATGGATCCGCCCCTGCCCGTCAACGTGCCCAGTGCACCGACTCGGATTACGTAAGTCTTTCCTCCCCTGCCCGTCAACGTGCCCAGTGCACCGACTCGGATTACGTAAGTCTTTCCTCCCCTGCCCGTCAACGTGCCCAGTGCACCGACTCGGATTACGTAAGTCTTTCCTCCCCTGCCCGTCAACGTGCCCAGTGCACCGACTCGGATTACGTAAGTCTTTCCTCCCCTGCCCGTCAACGTGCCCAGTGCACCGACTCGGATTACGTAAGTCTTTCCTCCCCTCTACATTTGAGTTCCTTGTCGTCTCCACTTCCTTTGTGTGAAAGAGATGGGAGCGATGGGCGGAGCAGATGGATGGGACGGATCCTCCCCTGCCCCTCAACGTGGCCAGTGCAGGGACTCGGATTACATAAGACTCTGCTCCTTTTCATCTCTGTAAGTCGATTGTGTTTGAGCTTGTTTGATCTGAAAGGGATGGGAGCGGACGGATGGGATGGGTCGCCCTCTGCCCGTCAACGTGTCCGGTGGGATGGGATGGGATGGGATGCAATGCAACGACTCGGATTATCGAAGTCTTTCCTCCTCAGGAATCATCGCATCATGGTCTTCTTTCATCTGAGCTTCTATTATACCGAATTCTATTATATGGAATTCTATTGCATGGAATTCTATCATATGAAATTCTTTTGTATGGAATCATCCTTACTGAGTCTTCTCGGAAGGCTCCAACCTACAGCCCATCCCACCTGCAAATTTCCTTCTGGTCATCTGTTTTGCTGCGAAACGAAATTCTTCCTCTCAGTCTTTTGCAGTGTTGGCAGGTTCTGTCAAAAGGTCCTCTCAGGTGTCTGCCGGTACTTTGCGGGTTCTCTTAAGGTTCTCTCTGCACCTTCTGTTCAGGTTCCTGGCTCTGCACCTTCATTTAAGTTTCTCTGAAGCACGCTGCAAAAAGCAACGGAGCAGTGAAAGGAGGCTCTTTAGTGACCCAAATATTGGGGGTCACTGTGAGAATTCTAAAGAGGGGAGATATGGTTTCTGGAGCAGGAAAAGGCCCTCGAGTTGACTCAAGAGTCACTGTGCACCAAGGCCCTGTGCCCCTCACACCCCCATGCCCATGCCTATTCCCATTCCCCATTCTACTATTCCTCATTACCCCCCTCCCCCCTGCAGGTTCCTTGTCACTCGAGCCTCTGTGGCGCTCCCACTCGCCGGTGCAGCTCGAGGGAAGCGCAGCAGCCCATACAGGCAGGATATGGTGGCAGCACAGCAGCACAGAGGGCGGTGCTGCTGAGGGAACAGTCAGAATCTGATTTGCTGCGGCAGCACATGCAGCAGCAGCAGGTGTTGCATCAGCAAATGCAGCAGCAGCAACAAATGCACCAGCAGCAGGTGTTACAGCAACAGATGGAGCAGCGGCAAACGCAGCAACAGCACATGCAGCAGCAACATATGCAGCAGCAGCAAATGCAGGAACAACATATGCAGCAGCAGCAAATGCCACAGCAGCACATGGTGTTACAGGGACAAACGCCACAGCACGCGTTACACATGCAGCCGCAACCGCTGTTAACACAAAAGCAGATGCTACACCCAATTCAGCAGTTACCGCAACATCTAGTGTTACACCAAACTCAGCGGTTACCGCAACAGCAAACAGCCTATGATGTCTCACAGATGCATCATCCCCAGATGATGTCGCACCACAGCATACCACAGTATGAGCTACCTCAATACCAGTCATTGCATTTAACTGGCGACAGCTGGGCCAGATAAACCTATGTACCTGCACCTGCGCCTTGGTACTCTAATTTCTCTTCGTTGTTTTGTACAGGTGTACCCATAAATGTACTACACAAACCGTATCATATATTTTATAATGGACACACAACAAAACCGCAACCATATATCTAATCACGGATCCCAGTATGTGCCGCACCAACATTCACCTCAAAGCTCAGAAACTCTTGAGGCATCTCATACAACAAATTTGGGGGAACTGTGAGTAGATGCAGGTGAGTAGACTTGGGCCTGGCAACAAAACATACGGTATTATTCGCCAGGCACCTGGGTAGTGTAGGCTACGGTAATGTCCACTTGCATTCCATGTCTTTCTATAGACGCAACCCATCGCCCACACACTTGCCCTTGCATCAGCCAGAAGCCGCAAGGTGAATGGGAAGTGGAGGGAATGGCTCAATAGGGTGAAAGACTGTACAGGTACATGGATGGGGTGGGGAGTATGAGAGAAGCAGTACGGATGAGAAAGGAGGAGCCAGAAGCCCTGGCAGGCAGGTGAAATAAGGCTGGAGGGTAACACAATATCTATGCAAGAATTTGTTCCCCACATCGAAATAAGGTTATCAGACAGCATAATTACGCTGCCCCCAATGGCAACATAAAGGTGATGACGCCTCATCCCATAGTTACCGGTTGTCACCATCTTTTATATCTTCACCTTTTAGGGTCACCATGACTCCAATGCGCCATGCACATGCCGCACCCGTCTGTCAGTAGTTAGAAGAACGACCATTATGCATGTCACACATGCACTCCCTGCATGTCACACATACATTCCCTGCATCTCACACATACACTCCCTGCATGTCACACATGCAGTATCTTTGCCAGATGCCATGCTGAATCCACTCCTGTTGACATGCAGGGTGCGGGGGAGGGAGGAGATGACGCGCCTTAAACATTGTTTGTCTTGAGGTGAAACAAACAACAACAAAGAAAGAAGCAGCAGCGAACCGAGGTTCAGGAACATGCCAAAACTCGTTGTGTTCACAATGTCAAGTTGAGGGTGTGGGTGCAAGAAAGGAGAGAGGTATGAGGGAGGGAGGTTGAGAAGGCGGGTGTGGGAAGGGGAGGCAGAAGCCAAAGGCGAGTTTGCACAGACAGTTTCGGTTCCTACCTCCCACCCCACCCCACCCCACCCCACCCCACCCCACCCCACCCAACCCTTCCCCCATCCCCCCACTCCCCATCCCCCCACTCCCCATCCCCCCACTCCCCATCTCCCCACTCCCCATCCCCCCACTCCCCATCCCCCCTCCCCCCATCCCCCCACTCTCCATCCCCCTGTCCCTCCCTGGCAGCCATTGGGGATGTGACCTGCAGGGCAGCGCGGTTGGCGTTGGTGCGGAGGATTGCAGCGCGGTTGGCGTTGGTGCGGAGGAGTGCAGCGCGGTACTCGAGGACCTTGGAGCAGCACGCGCGGCACCTCGTGCAGCCCCGCCAGCAGCATTTAAGTCGACTCAAAAGAGGTGACTTGTGAGTCGAGTCAAAAGAGGTGACTTGTGAGTCGACTCAAAAGAGGTGACTTGTGAGTCGACTCAAAAGCAGAGCGGTTGGCGTTGGCGCGGATGGGTGCAGCAAGGTACTCGCGGACCTTGTGGCGCGTGAGCCGGGCAGTGAGCCGGGCCTTGAGCCGGGCCTTGAGCAGGGCCTTGAGCCGGGCCTTGAGCCGGGCCTTGAGCCGGGCCTTGAGCCGGGCCTTGAGCCGGGCCTTGAGCCGGGCCTTGAGCCGGGCCTTGAGCCGGGCCTTGAGCCGGGCCTTGAGCCGGGCCTTGAGCCGGGCCTTGAGCCGGGGGGCCTTGAGCCGGGCCTTGAGCCGGGCCTTGAGCCGGGCCTTGAGCCGGGCCTTGACCTCGTGCCAGCAGCTGCCGCGATGTGATGCCGACCGCACCGTCACGAACGACGAGCTCAGCCCCCCTCTCCCATAGCCCATCCCCCCTCTCCCATAGCCCATCCCCCCTCTCCCATAGCCCACCCCCCCTCTCCCATAGCCCATCCTCCCTCTCCCATAGCCCACCCCCCCTCTCCCATAGCCCATCCCCCCTCTCCCATAGCCCATCCCCACTCTCCGCCTTGCACCGCCCGCTCCGAGGGCTTTGAGAACAGCTGCGCGCACGGGGGGAAGAGAGGTGAGGAGCGGGGGAGGGATGGGAGGGAGGGGGGAGGGCGGGGAGGGACGGGAGGGAAGGATGGGAGAGAGGGGAGAGAGGGGGAAAGGGAGGAAGTTGGGGGGAAGAACGGAGGGATTGGGAGAACGAGCATCATGCATGTCACACATGCAGAACCTGTGTGTCACAGATGCGGTCCATGCATGTTACACATGCGGACCCCATGCCTTAAATGTCGTCAGACTTCAGCAGCACGAAGTGGCGGCGGCACGCACGACCCGAGACAGCGACGGCGGCATGAGTTGGTGCTGTTGCTGCGACCGCCAACGCGGCAGCGGCGCGCTGCTGCTGCTACTATGCGCGCGCACTAACGCAGCAGCGCGACGCTGCTGCTGCTATGCATGCGGCTAACGCAACAGCGGGCCGCGACTGCTGTCGAATGAGCTACGAAGTAGCTACGGCGCGGTGCTGCTGCGGCTGGGCGCACTAAAGAGCAGTGGCGCTCTGTTGTTGCTGCTGCTCGCGCTTATAAGGCACCAGCGCTTTGCAGCTTCTGCTCGCAAAAATATATTCTTTTAGGAAAAGGCAAGATACATAAGTTGTTGCTGATCTTGCCAAGCCCTGACGTCGTATGGCGATAAGAGTAAACGACGCACCAAACTGTTGCTTTCGCTCCCAGCTATTGCTTAAAAGTGCTAAGAAAAGCAAGAAGTGATAAGAAGGCGAGAGGAGTAAACGACGCCGGAAGTGCTAATATTCAATGTTCATGTATTTACTGCTTGGCGATCGTACGCTTCCCAAACTTATCGGCCGCATCATGCTCCTATGCTGTCGATGGATCGCAACGTCTGTCGGAGGCAGAAAAGCAAGAGATAATGCTCGTAGAGAACTTGGAAGAGATTGCTCACTCAAAGATTGCTCGGGACTGTGAGAGACTTATAATCGCACAACACAGCTCTAGCAAGCTACCAGTCATAGCTTGTCAAGGGTATTCCGTTGGTGTTTCGTGTTATGCACAACTGGGACTGGGGGAGGCTTGATCCTCAGATCCAGATCTAGTACAGTGTACGATGTGGAGTTTGTAGTCCATTGGATCAATATCTATTTGCCTTGTCAATTGAAGAAGCTTGTATATAAAACACTTGACAGATACAGAGAAGCAAATCTGAACTTGAGACTGCAACCAGCTACGAAGGCCGATCTTCTGCTGCTGCTGCTCCACTTGAGTCTTGAGTCTCGAGTCTTCACCCCTCTTGGCCGCTAGAGGCAAAGCCTCTAGCGTTACACCTGAGCACTGCGTTGAGGTGGGGGTTTTTCGCTCAGGACACCTGTTTGGGAGGGGAGGGGATGGGGAAAAGAGGAGAGGGAAGGAAAAAAAAAAAAAAAAAAAAAAATGAAATCAACTGCCACGGGCAGAAAACCACCTCAGCTCGATGGTTGTGAGATGTCAGATGACCCTGCAGCTCACCTGACCCACCTTACCATATCATTCACCCATCCCATCGAAACCACCCACCCACCCCATCGTAACCAACCGAACCGCGGCATACCGTGCCGGGCTTTTCGAACCTATCGAGTCTGTTCCGTGTCGTCCGTCCGTTCTACACGAGTCTGTCTGTAACGCGTCTGTTCTACTCTAGTGCTCGCAATCGAGTTGGTGCCGAACCCCGTGTGCTCATTGTCTCTCAACCTGACATCGGACACTCGAGAAAGATAAGGACGCGAAAAAAGTAGATGATCGATCGTCAGTCGCGATCGATGTGGAAAATTGTTACCATTTTTATTGCGCTGTAACTATGCTACAGAACGTTTTTTGGCCAAAATTTCTGTACAGTATGTGAATGCGACTGATCACTGATCGCGGGAGATCTGTCAATTCTCAGATGCGATCGTTACAACGTCGCGGTCGCCATGTTTCGCCGATCGATCTGCCCACTCGATTATGGGGCTCGATATTTGCAGACGATCCTGCGATTTTTGCACTTTCACCGCATCCTAAGAGAAAAAAACGTGGAGTGATGGCGTCCGCCCCTCCGCAACACCCGCGTCCGCTCCGCGTTCCTGCCGAACCTGCAACTTGGAGGAAGCGGCACTAGTTAGTATAGAATAAAAATATACCTATTAAAAATAACAACAAAAATGAAAAACAAGCTAAAAAACAAATACAAGCGTAGCATGAAAGAAAAATTTACAAGCTCCAAAGCTCCAAGATCCAAGTCTGCAAGTGACAGAGGAAGAAGAGAGGAGAAAGGAGGGGAAAGGTGATGTCGTCCGCGTTCCTGCCTAACCTGCAACTTGGAGGAAGCGACGATAGCTAGTATATAATAATAATAATAAAGAAACACGAAAACAAGTGAGAAACAAGTACTAGCGTAGCAGGAAATCTCCAAAGCTCCAAAGCTCCAAGATCCAAGTCTGCAAGTGTCAGACTTATATGCCTTAGCCTATGCAGGCTGTAGTGGGGTAGACACTAAGGGGTACAGCTTTCATATTTGTATCTCACACTTTCCTAGTTCAACCATTTTTTCCTCATTTCTTCACATGGTATAGAGCAGATTCCCTAGTGGGAACGCTTCCTTGGGCCCACCACCACTGAAATTTTTTTTCTGACCGGAGCGCCAGTCGCTCCTGCCCGAGGCGCGCCTTGTGGGCCGCCCTTCTGTTGAGCTCTCTTCGAGGCTCCCCTCACGGCCCCTCGTGCCGCCCCTAGCGGCCCCGTCGCCGCCCTTCCAGGCCCCTCGCGGCCCATAGCGGCCCCGTCGCCACCCCTACGCGGCCCCGTCGCCGCCCCTACGCGGCCCCGTCGCCGCCCCTACGCGGCCCCGTCGCCGCCCCTAGCGGCCCCGTCGCCGCCCCTACGCGGCCTCGTCGCCGCCCCTAGCGGCCTCGTCGCCGCCTCCCTCCCTACGCGGCCCCGTCGCCGCCCCTAGCGGCCCCGTCGCCGCCTCCCTCCCTGCGCGGCCCCGTCGCCGCCCCTAGCGGCCCCGTCGCCGCCCCTACGCGGCCCCGTCGCCGCCCCTACGTGGCCCCGTCGCCGCCCCTACGCGGCCCCGTCGCCGCCCCGTAGCGGCCCCGTCGCCGCCTCTACGCGGCCTCGTCGCCGCCCCTAGCGGCCCAGTCGCCGCCTCCCTCCCTACGCGGCCCAGTCGCCGCCCCTACGCGGCCCCGTAGCCGCCCCTAGCGGCCCCGTCGCTGCTCCCCTCCCTACGCGGCCCCGACGCCGCCTCTACCGGCCCCTTCGACGCCGAGCAGCCCAGCAGCTGAGCCGCCCAACAGCCGAGCCGCCGAGCCGCCCAGCAGCCGAGCCGCCGAGCCGCCGAGCCGCCCAGCAACCGAGCCGCCGAGCTGCCCGACAGCCGAGCCGCCCAGCAGCCGAGCCGCCGAGCCGCCTGACAGCCGAGCCGCCCAGCAGCCGAGCCGCCGAGCCGCCCGCCAGCCGAGCCGCCCAGCAGCTGAGCCGCCGAGCCGCCCTGCTGTCGAGCCGCTACTGTTCCTACCGGCGCGCCCCGGCCCTACTTCCTCGGACTGGTGAGATCACTCTCTGTTAGGCCACTGCAGTCATGGCTACCCCCAGTGTCCTTACCTTTGATGCTGAGGGTCGTGCTGTTGACTTTGAGGTCTGGGTCGATGACCTCCAGCTGTTCCTACAGTGCGATAGGGCAGACGGACTCTCCCTGTTCGATCTCACCTCTGGTGCCTCTCCTGCCCCGCCTGCTACTGCTGACAGTACGGTTCGCTCATAGTGGGCCACACGCGATGCTGCTGCCCGTCTTGCTGTGCGTCGCCACTTACCGACCACTGAGCGTGCGCACTTTAGCCAGTACAAGAGTGCTCAGACCTTGTACGACGCTGTAGTTACGCGCTACTCTTCCCCTGCCACTGCTGCGCTTAGCCGCCTCATGCTGCCGTACCTGTTCCCTGACCTTGCTGCCTTTCCCACAGTCGCTGACCTCATTACGCACCTTCGCACTAGTGACACTCGCTACCGCGCTGCGCTTCCTGCTGAGTTCTGTGCCAAGAACCCCCCCCCCATGTACATCACCCTCTACTACATAGTCACCCGGCTCCCTGACTCCCTTCGCTTAGTCAGGGACCACTTCCTCTCAGTTTGCCCCACCACACTCACCGTTGACCTCCTCGAGGAGCGCCTCCTAGCAGCAGAGACGAGCATAGTCGCTGTAGGAGCCTCTCGTGGTGACCCTCGCACCCCCGTTTTTTAGGGGTGTTCCCCTTCCCCCCTCTTGCCCTCTGTTGTTACCGGCAAGGGCAAGGGGGGCAAGGGCACTGGAGGGGCTGGCGGGGGCGGTGGAGGTGGTGGTGGAGGTAGTGGAGGGGGTTGGGGTGGTGGTGGGAGTGGTGGCGGGGGTGGAGGTGTAGGTGGCAGCGGTGGAGGCGGAGGAGGCGGCGGCGGTGGCGGAGGGAGCGGAGGTGGCGGAGGCGGCGGAGGTGGCGGAGGTGGCGGCGGCAGCGGTGGAGCTGGTCGCGGCTCTGCGCAGAGGAGTGGGTCCGGAGGTGGTCCGCGCCAGCAGCAGCAGCGCATTCGTGCGACCCTGTCCCCTCAGCAGCTTCGTGAGTGGTACGCTGCGCGTCAGCGAGGTGGGGGTACTGGTCCCTGCACCTACGTCCTCCGTACCGGCGACCGCGTTGGTGAGCAGTGCGGGGGCCCGCACTCCACCCAGCGCTGCTTCGGCCGCCTGACGGACGCGTGGCGTCACCAGTTCCCTGACGCCACTGAGATCCCTCGCTGGGGAGAGCTGTCTAGGGCGGGGGTTGCTATCTTTGATCTTGATTATGATGCTATTCTTGCTGCCATGTATGCCGTATGTGATAGTGTTGAGGGTGACTGTTACCTGTGTGTTCCGCCTGACCCGGGCATTGAGGCTGCTGCTCTAGGTACTGGTGAGGCTGCTGCTCTAGGTACTGGTGAGGCTGCTGCTCTAGGTGCTAGTGCGTCTGCTCCCCTAGGTGCTAGTGAGTCTGCTCTCTCAGGTACCACGTCGGCTCAGGCCTTCCACACCTTCACCCTTGACTCGGGTGCTTCCCGCTCCTTCTTTCGAGACCGCACCACACTTACGCCGCTTAGTCGGCCGGTTGCGGTCTCCCTGGCGGACCCCTCTGGGGGTCCTGTCCTTGCTAGCTTCTCCACTGTCTTACCGTGCCCGGCAGCCCC